CAAAGCTGACTTTACTGGGCTGTGTTTCTTTAATATTTACAACTTCTAACTAGAAATATTTCTAATTACTAATAAGAAATGGTTATGAAATTCTAGAGTTTCAACCATTTTAATCCTTTCTCTCTCTTTCTCTCTCCCTCCCTCTCTCTTATATAAACCTAGTTCTGCAGACACTGTTTTGATTTTAGTTTCTCTTTTTTATTTTGCTTGGAAAATTTTAAAAGAGTCTTCGAGTCTCCAAACTAAAGCTATAAGACAGAAAAAAAAAAAGCCATCAGTCAGGACAGCTGGGGAACTAGTTTCTCATATCAGCATCAAATTCCAAGGTATTCAACTTGAATTAAGTGCAGCCATCAGAAAAACCATAGAAATAGGAAAGTTGCTGTTGTAAATTAATGATTATTTGCTGTGTGCGTTAGAGTTGCTGTTTGTACCACATTTTATTGTGATGTTTTATTCTTATTCAGTGCAACAGTAATTGGGTCCTACACATGATAAAGTATCTTAAAGGCTGCATTGGTAGCTGAGCTGCCTACAGCAGGTTTTTAACTCTAGTTAAAGAAGGTTAATCAAAGCTAATGGATCTGTTTTATCCATTGCCACGAGTTTTAAAAAAAATGTGCCAGGAGGTGACTGAACTAAAATCCGAATTGTTCAGCTGTGAACGCAAATACTTTTTTAGCATAATGATTTTGCAAGCCTCTTGGATGGCCCTGGGTCCGTGGATGGCAGGTACCTGCAAGCTCTGTAGTTTTCTTACCTTTCTACCACTGCTCACTCTTCTGCCATTAAAAAATATGAGCCTTATGAAAATACAGGAGAGGGAATGCAATCCCACACTACAGCCTTCAGTGTGAGAATATCAAGAGACTGTTGCATTCAGAAGTTCAGAATAGCTCTGCTCTTTATAAAAGAATATGAGGAGCCCCCTAATAAGGCCAATTCATTAGAACAAGTGTTTGTTACTAAAACACACCACGCAGGACCACAGGGATCTGAGCCAGACAGCACGGCAATTAAAGTTGCCTCCCTTCCAAACGCAGGCGGCCCACCAACTCTCACCCACGAGTTCTGCTTTGTTTTCCTATTAGAAATGTGATTGAAGAATGCAAGTTCATAATTTGTTCATGAAGCAGAGGACAAGTAACTCTCTGGTTGCAACATCCTTTTATGCACTTTAAATCGGAATTTTAAAAAAAATTCAGGTTGCTTGTGCGTCCTTTCTAAAGGCGCAGGAGGAGCAAAACCGTCTTACTATGGGAATATACCTTGGTGCCCAGAAAACATTGCCTAGTTGCATTTGAAAAAACGCTCAGTGAGAGACCATCCTCCAAATATCTAAAATCACAGTGGTGGAGGGTTTTTAATTTTAATCCCAGCATTTACAGAAAACACACACACACACACACAGCCTGCAGTGACACCTTTCCCCTCCCCTTTGGTGCTCTGCGGAGCTTTGGAAAGAGATTCATAGCGACTCAGGACTGTTGCTGGCAAGGAAAACCCCCTGCCTATGAGACAGAAAGAGGGGCGGGGAGGGCCATTGTGGCTTTCCCTCCTGCTCTCTTTTTAAATCCAAATAATATTTGTACTTTGGGGGGAGGGTGTGAAAAAGGGATCAAGATATGAAGCAAGGCAGAACCCAAAAAGCGAGGGGGAGAATAAAGCTCAAGGAGAGAGACTAGCTTTGGTCCGAGAAAGGGCCTACATCACAGGTTTCAAAAGCATCTTTTTTCAGTTTCACAAGCCACAACCCCCTTGATGAAAACTAGTTGCGAAATTCAGTGCCTGTTAGGCCTCAGCTAATTAGAAAAAATGGGCTTTTTTTTCTTTTCCTTTCTTTCTTTAGCACCTTTTCTTTCAAGCATTTAGTCTCAGGAGGGGGATCCAGGCTCTTGGCCGGGCTGTTTTGAAAACACGCCTTTGAATGCCTCTCCCTAATTCACGCCTTTTGTTTTTCAGCTTTTGTGTTTGCCAGTTTGACCATATAACGTTATACATCTGGTGTATAGCTTGTTGGGGGCTTTTTTCTCCCAGGGTTCCTATGCATTCCCTATAGGACCCTCCTGAGCTTCAATTTGAGCGATCGTGTAACATAAAGGGGGTAAAGGAGAGCCTAGGAGGCTGGGGAGTTGGGGGAAGGAGGGAGCAGGAGAGGGGAGGAGGCCTGGGGGAGACGGAGAGAGAAATGAGTGAAACATAAAAAAAAAAAAAAAAAAAAGTTGAAAAGAATTCTTTTGCTCTCTTCTTTTCTTCTCACTGTTGCGACTGGACCCTGAGTCAGCCGGCGACAAGGCCTTGGTGGGAAAATGACGGGGCCACAGAATAGATAACTCATTGGAATTCTGGCAACATATTCGTAAATAAAACAAAAGTGGGGAGGCGGGCTGGGGGAGGGCGTGTGTTCCTGGGGAAGCGCAGAGCTGCACAGGGCAGGGCTAGGAGGACATTTCCAGGGCCAGCTCCCTGCCTTGCCTCTTGCAGGGGAAATATAAGATGGTCAAAGGAAAGGAATCCAACAGTTTTGCCCAGGCTTGTTTAGCAAAGCTCTTGCAGCTGGAGCTGTTTATTATTGCAGCTAGGAAGATGCTCTTCCAAACACACTTCCCAAGCTGAGAGAGCAGAAATCATCTATCTTATTTCTTCAGAGCCTGCACGGTCTGTGACTCAGAAAGGGGTTTCTGTTAAAAGAGGAACATACTTGAGCGTGGTTATTTTTTCCCCAGCTGCTCAAGAAGAGGCTTCCCCCAGATTTAGTTTGCAGGTATCTTTCCCAACTCTTACCTCCCATGCACACTTTTGATAAAACAGCTTGGATACTGCTTCTTGGAATGATGATACTGATATAAGTTTCCTGACTTAAAAGCTCCCAGTCGTCTAGTGGATTTTGTTGCTACTGGTGCTCACTGATGGGTAATCTTGTGGATGAGCTCTCATCTCAATTTCTCCATCTGCAAAATGGACATATCTTAATATCAAAGTCACAATTCTTAGTTTTCACATACCCGGACAGTTCCTCTTCTAATGAGTCTATTTCATATTTTTTGTTTAATATACACACTGTGTGTGTGTGTATCTGTGAGTACATAAAACCCATTATAAAGATATAGTGTATATTTTGGTGGTTGTGATTTTTGTATGTCATCCAACTGCTCTAGAATAACTCTGCAAGCTTGATTTTTGCTGAAAGAAAACCTAGAATAAATAGGAAGACAATATGTTTGTGGCGGTTGTTTAAAGCTAATACCAGCAGCTTTTTCTTTTCTTTACTGCTGAACAATTTCAAAAGCAATACTAGGCATGAAAGCAAAACAAACTCATTTCAGTGCAAAGCTTATGAGTTATTTGTGTTTCCCTGAATTTAAGGAGGGGGTGGATGAGTAGGAAATTTGTTTTAAATATAGAAATGGGGAAAATACAACAAACTTCACAGACTATCTTGGAAGGTTCTGCAGCTTGAAGTGCAGAGTTTATTACAGATGTGATGTAACTTGTGAGTATAATTTTCAAAAATAGCTGAAGAATACACTGTGAGAAATCTTACCAAAAATATCATTTCCCCCAATATATTTGTAACTCAGGTTACCAGCTGATTAACCCCTTGAAAAGAGTTTCTCTAGGTGGAAATCTATATCCCTGTCTGTTCTTAATCAATCCAGCCACATGACCAATAATGTGGATGCAAGGGTTAACACAATTAAATTAGCAAATGTTTGGAAGGAAATGGCAAAATTGGTTTTTAAAAAGATGTTTAGCAAAGACATTTTGCTGTTCCAATCAGACACATCATTATACAATAGGCTATTTTCAGGAATCTATTTTTTCCTAAATGTTAATCAGACCAGAAGAAAGCGCCTGTTAGTCCACATTGAGATATGCCGTAATTCCCTTGGAAAAGTAACTTACCTTAGGGAAATATTTTGCTTCACAGAAAAAGACTGTTTATTTACTCTGAATTCTTTCCCTTGCAAGGTTGTTGTCTGGTTTTTGTTTTTCTTTAAACTGGTCTCAGAACATGGAGAAGTAGGACCATCGTCAACTGAAACAAAAACAAAACAAAACAAAAAAACCATGGACTTGAGCTAAAATTCTTAAATGAATTGTTTAGCTTCAAAATGTAAAACTGTCCCAGCAAGAATGTCACAAAGTGTAAGCACAGAAGGATCTGTATTTTACTGAAAACATTCTTTATATAACACCCAAAGAACACGAAAAGAACGAGCCACCCTTACTTATATTACAATGTCTGTATTTGTTATCTTTTCAAGTGTGCTTAACAAATTGACACCATTTTCTAAAAGATTTTTTAGTTTGAGACTCCTAACTCATCCACCTGCTCTCCTAGGTCACAACTGTAAGTCCAGAAAAAGGCGTGCTTTATGTTTCTGTGAAAACTGGCTTTATTTCTAGTTATAAGGGAGGCTGAACTTTTAGGCAAACTTGGTGCCAGGTAGCAGCAGCAGGAGCAACGTGAAAAAGAAAAAATGGCAGTTACTCACTTAAGAAAATACCATTCTGTTGATCGACAAACACCCTTTAAATTTTAGCTATTAACAGCTCTTACAGAAACAGGAACTGCCAATAACAAACTTGATTTCTAATGTCCCCAAGGTAATAATAATCCACTAATTTGACTATATCCCAGCTGGCCTATACAGCAGTTTCTATTTGTTGCTTTTTTTTTTTTTTTTTTTTTTTTCCATCAGGGAAGACTTATCTTTCTTTGGGAAAAAAAAAATGCTGGGGGGTATGCTGTAAAGTTAAGAAGGAGTGTGGAGAGGAAACACATGGAAATTTAATGTGAAAGTTTCTTGTTGCAATAAAGCTGTTAGGTTTGGCATGTAGACTGTTATCAGATGGTTCCTTTGACATTACTTGAGCCTTTCAGTAAGTAAGACAAGCCTGAAGGATTAGGTTGTCAACTTCAGCCTGTCATCTTTGAGCGGAAAAAAAGAATTGCTTTTTTCTTCCTTTCTTTCTTTCTTTTTTTTTATTTTCAGGTTGCATCCTCCTTCACCAGCTTTGAGCTTTGGAGACCGCAGCAGAGGTAGTTAATAGAAGACAACCTCAGGCCCACGTTGATCATGGAAGTCTAGCTTTTAAAGATAACTGAGTCAACCAAGCTGTAAGGCTAATCACCCTGTGCAAGTATGAATTTATCTAAAGAGGATTTCATGTGGAACCCCCGGAGCCGGCCGCCAAACGGATGACTGCACACTTTAAGAAAGTTCGTGGGACTTCTCCCAATCAACTGTCAGGCCACATAAAGGGTCTGGAACGCGCTGACTTAAGCAAACAATATTTAGCCATCTAAGGATACCATAAGGCCCAAGATTTTGCTTTGTTGGTGCTGACAGGAAATATTGATACGTATCAAGTAACACTCCTGATGCAAAAAGGGAGATGTGACTCCTTTCGGTACTATCTCTATTTAGGAAACTGTCTTGTGCTTTAAAAGAAAGCACAGGTGGGGGCAGGGACAATGTCAAATCCAGCACTTCACTGGGTACTTTTCCAGCTTTCCTGGGATCACAATTTCATGAAAATAGGAACTGAGCTAAAGTTGTCTCCTTTAAAAAAAAAAAAAAAAAAAACACACACACAAAAATATATTGGAATTTGAATTTGCAAAATCTCAAAATGTCTAGCTGACAAGTGGATCCTGCCCATAACCCCAAAACTATTCTTTAAGTTTATTAACCTAGGAAACCTGTCACTGATTAGGTTTGGGTGCATCTCTCAGCTTTTACAATAGTCTATATTAGAACTATCTGGTTACAGAGTCTAAAAAGTAAATAGAAATATGTGGCTATTAAGTCGAAAATCCCCTAAACAGGAAATATGAGTCAAAACTCGACTTTTTGTGAGAAATAATGTCTGTAATCCTACTGACTCATCAATTCTAGACATTCATGGCTTTAATTACAGGGGAAAAATTTTAAGTCCTATCTTGGAAAAATTTGATAGGGAATATTGGGCTGTTACCATAGAATAAAGGTTGGGTTGGAGGATTTAATTTAAAAAGGAAAAAGAAAGAACCCTATTTTATCAGAATACTCTAAACATTCTCCATCAGTAATGTTGTGCCTGAGGTGATATCCTTGAAGATGCTGGAGGTGGCGGTGTTAATGAAATACCCGTTGGCATTAAATAGCATTTCTAGAATCCTGATTGTAGTGCTAGAAAGGAAAGTGAATTTTGTAACAGCACAATAAACAAGGGGAACTGAGAAAAAAGAACCCGCTCGTTCTTTAAGGAAGATCGCTTCCAGTTAAACAAAGAAATTTAGGGTCGTCTGCTTTTCATGAAAATCACATACATATGGCCTTTGAAATTTGTCACTGAAGATGGTTTTGCTCTAAGGTAAAATTCACCACTTTATAGCTTTTCAGCTGCAAGTCTCTGGATTTTTTTTCTTCTCTCTTTTGGCCTGCAGCCCAATATGAATGTATGATCACTAGCACAATAGTTAAACATCTGAGTCTTTTTGAAGTGTCTTCAATGTTACAATGATGTGATGGTTGATTGCCTAGCAGTCAGTTTAGAAAAGACTGCATTCTGCCCCCTAGTGGTAGAAATTAAAGTTTAATGGCTGCTTCATAATATATAATGCCTTTTTTCTCCCCCTCTTTTCCATACGTTAAGGATATAGAGCAGTGTGGGAATCACTGATGAGTTTTGTCATAATCAGTAAAGTGTATATTTTAAACAGGAAAATTTCTAGACTGAATGGACAGGTTTACGAGGCACAGGGTCATTTGATGTATGTTTTGTGTACTCTGCTGTGCTTTGCCAAACAATATACATTACCACTATAAACAGACATTGTCCCTAACACAGCATTCCTTCTGGGAAAATGTTGGGACTTCTTAATAGAAGCTATTAACCAAAAGGGTCATGGTGTTGCCAAAATTATACACACACACACACACACACACACACACACTCAAAGAAAGCATGATATATTGTCAGAACTTCACGTCTCTTTTCAGATGACCATTTTTTTGTACAGGAGGCAATAAAAACAATTTGCACTAATCACACCACTTACTACTCCACAGGTCACATTCCCTTTGTGTTCAAGTTCAAAAAAAACCACACACACCAAAGGTAAAGAAAGGGTTTGTGATGTCCACAAGATTTTGATGTGGGAAGCACTGATCACGTATAGCTTTTTTTTCAGCTGACAACAAAGTAGAAGACATTTGCTTGAGTTTTTATCCTGTCCTGGGTTCTTGCTTGTTTGTTTTTCATCTTTAATGTAGAATTCATATATTGCATGCAGGCAAGCATTGGAAGGCACACAAAATCAAGCACCCATGATATAGGCATCATCCCATGAGTGTGTGTTTAGATCTTGCAGAAGTGAAACTCCATGTTGGAGGAAGATGGGACAGACTGAGGAGAAGGAGGAGGAGGAGGCGTCCGTGGAGAGTGGACAGGCGGGACAGCTGGACCATGTGTAACGTGTCAGTTTGCTTCTGTGCCACTATTGTGTTG